AAAGAAAGTCCTAAGGACTGGAGTTTGCTATTAGCTTTTGTTAGCCAGGTTGATTTAAAACGGCCTCTGAGAACCAGTGGAGCCAGACCCATAGAAGAAAAAATCAATTCCATCCAGAAATTAAGGAGATAGAACTAGGCTCTGGCACTCACAGAAACCAAACCTGTGTCTTAACCGTAAAACAGCAGGGAGGAAAAAGGGACCTCAGAGGTGGAATATAAACAGGCCGCCCAGACTAAATCTCTCCTTGAGCACCTTACCTGTTCATGGACATTCCCCCCAAATGCTTTTTTTTTTTTACTCAGTTTATATCCTCCCTTTCTATCTGTTGAACGCTCAAGGTAGCTGACAACAGACAAAAGGAACAGTTAAATGCACTAATCATGCAATCATCATAATAGTTTAAAAGCCTCCCTAAAGAGATGTGTCTTATTGCAAAGAAAGCGCCTTTGGCCAAAAACGTGCTTCCAGAAAGGCACCCACAGCGGCTCCTGAGGTCAGGGTCGTCCTCCTGTTAATTGCTCCTCCCATAGACACCTCGAAGCTGGCCTATCACCACGGGCTCCAATCCACAAGGCAGGGAACCCCAGCAGGCCAATACCATTGATCAGGGATGGGATTAAAGCCCTTAAAGATGTCACTTCTTTGCATTTCATTCAGAAAATCAAAGCGTGACCCTCTGATATAGGCTGCAGACTAGCAAACCATTTCAGCTCTTAAAAAGACTGAAGAGGAAGAGAGCAGACGTAGAGATTCCGCTCTGTAACACAATCCTGTGCTGAACAAAATCTAAACTTAATGAGGCTTGAAAAAAGAGACCTGGAGAAAGAATGCTGGCTGGGGGCGGCACTCAGGCCCTTGCTTTTGGACCTGACCTTCTCCTCGCTCTGATCTCAAAGCGTTTGGAAGGATCTGACCTGGTGGGTTCCGGCTGCAGGCGAGAAAGGCAGGATTACGCACACTTCTTTATTTAAGCTAACTCCCAAGAAGGAATTGCACTCTTGTTTCTAGCATTCAGTTAAAACTATCTGGGTAGGGTCAGCCTGAGTTTTATGACTCCCATGACCATAAACCTTGATTGTTGGCCATGCTGTCTGGAGCTTATGGGAATGGTAGTTCAGAACACCAGATGTGCCTCTCTCTGCTATAGAAAGGCTAAATCCTGGCTCACCTATTTTCCTTTTAACGATCTGCTTCTTCCTCCAGTTTTGCTACTTGATCCACAACAGAAATTTATCCAAGGCGCAATTGTGAATCGTTTTAGGCTTCCATCTTACTCTTAAAATGAAACTTCGTTCGAAGTAGCATAGGAAAGTCAATTGGTATGTCCTGAGCTGCAAAAAATCACAGCTTTTCATTTTTTTAGGATTAAGCGCAACTGATTTCTGTCAAGAGCTCAAAATCAAAGCAGAGTCTCGGGTAGAAGGCAGAGCCCTCTCCCCCACTCTCTTCCAAACAGCCATGCTGCAACACTGCTTGCAGCCCCTCCTTTTAATTCTTGTGCCCAACATCCCAGTTTATAACTCCACGTACAGCACTGGAGAAAATACCACGTGTTCCAAGCAACGTAAGAATATAAAAAGAAAAGTTGCGTTCCAAAAACTCTAAACTGGTTTTAAAAAGAAATATGCTTCAAATCTTTCACACATTCAAGAAGGTAGCTTACCGCTGCACAACTAAGCTTAGATTGATTCCACGTTTCAGGCTATGTCTTAGCTTTTGTTTTGTATTATCCCTTGACAGCAGAGACTCATTACCTGCTAGTCTCTATCCTAATACTAATTAGTTTTATCTGGGTCTGTCCACTTCCTAGCATGCACAGTTTTTACCTCCTTTTACCCAAGTACTGACACCCCTGACTCTCTTCTAGCCCTCTCCTTCCTTTAATTAACTAGATTGCTTGCTGGTGCCATTCAGAGGGTTAGATATACAAATATTTATACAGGTAGTCCCCAGTTTAAGGATGAGCTCTGTTCCCAAGGTCTGTCCTTAAGTCAAATTTGTATGTAAGCTGGAACAGTATTATTGTATAATACTGTATAAGTAGTTTTGTATAATGAACTCAAACCATTGTGTATTTAACTCGAATTCTGCTACAGTAGGCTCCGTTCTGAAGTATGGGTCATCTGTAAACCGGGCGTTCTTAACCTGGGGGCTACCTGTATATGAAACTGCATATTCATCACTGTAACCTGAAGCTTAGAGATGCTCCACAATTGCTCCTCCCTCACCTCCATGCTTCTAATGATTGCCATGGTGTTCTCTGAGTTTGGGATGAATACCCTTGATATGTGTCACATGAATGCACTTGCTTTGTGTAGTAGTAACAGGCTGGAAGGTTGGTTGCTGGAGAACAAGTCATTTCACCTGATTGCAGGGGCTGGGAGATCAACCAGACACCTTTGCTGTTATTTTATAGGTTCATACAAGATCATTCTTGTTTATTCAGGCTTTTGGTAAATTCATCTAAATTGTCCCACAGTTCAGGTTGTTGTTACGTTTTGTTTGTGTCTGGATGGTGTGCAGAACTGGTTTTCCAGTGGCTAGTTGCTTTTAACATTCCACTTTAATTTATATTATTGCTATTATGTGTTTTCTTTTACTCTTTCATTGCTTTGCCTTTTAATAATGTGTCAGTTATTTTGTGGTAAAGTTACCCAAATGCTATTTGGCAAAGAAGTGACACAGAACTTTCTAAAACAATGGCAAAACAACAGTAAAGAAATAGCCACATCCATGAGTATGTGGGGAAAGAGACAAAAGGAAAGAACCCTGAAATCACAGATGGAGAAGAGAATAACTATTGCCACGATAAGAATAAAGGACATTACACGTATCGTAGCAATTGTATCATTGCTCTTGTGCAAAACTGGTATAAAAAGCAATCAACATTTAAAGTATCAGCCATGTTCCTTTTGGAATAAGCATTAAAATTATGCATTGGATATCCCCAACCTCCACTGATCAGGGGGTTTTATTGTTTCTGCAACTCCATTCCGTGAAGCAACATGACAAAGAGCTCAATACATAGATTTGGGGAATGGTACCCAGAATAATTTTTGTGACTGAGGATACAGTTAGGAAAAGAAAAGCAAAAGATAGGAAAACAAGTGATTGCGCTCCATCTTACCTGTGCTCGGATCAGAGATTCAAAACTTGGCTTGAAATAATCGGTGCGGCTGCTATAAAACTTAGGCATCTCTTCCAGAAGTTGCTTGTTCTTGGCCTCAAAGTCATCTTTCACTGGCCTCAGTTCTTCTCGGGCCTGGAAGAATGGAAAAGAAGGTGCGAGATCTCAAAACGTTATCCTTCACCTCCCCTTTAGGAGTTATCCTTTCTTAGTACCTCCTGGGCTAGGCGGGGATTGATCATCTTCATCTATAGTTCAGAATGACTCTTAGAGACACTCAAAGCAGCCTTCCTTATGCTATTGCCCACCAGATAGGTTCAGTGTTAACTCACCAAATTCCCAGTCAGTATACCTCTGCAGTACTTCAAGGTTCCATCTTGCCTCTCATGTTATTTAATATCAACACTGAACCACTGAGGAAAATAATCCAGATTTTTAGGCTACTGCTGCGTGACCAATGGGCAGATGACAAGGTACTCCTCTGATTTCCATCTAAATTGTGAGGAAGGTTGCAGAACAGTAAAGCTGATGGACATAAGAGACATGCCATTTCAGTGGTGGCACCTATTCAGTGGAATTTCCTCCTGATGTCTATATGGCTCCCTATTGGCAGCCTCTGAAGACAGTTATGGCAGCTCACCTATTCTCTCTGGCCTTTTAAGCCATTCAAACTAAATTATGGTAGAACTTTGTGGCAAGTTGACTGAATCCACTCCCAAGCTCCACCTCAGAATTAAAACAAAAATACTGAAAGGTATAAACCAGTGTTTCTCAACCTTGGCAACCTGAAGATGTGTGGACCAACTCCCAGAATTCGGGTTGGCTGGGGATTCTGGGAGTTGAAGTCCACACGTCTTCAAGTTGCCATGATTGAGAAACACTGGTGTAAACAATTCAGAAAGACAGATTTCAGGCTTACAGAATCCACTTCGTTTTTGAATTGATTTTCTTTTTCCTGGACCCCTGATCACTTCTAAGAGCAAAAAACTAAGCCCCTGAATTTAATTTCAGAACCAGAACTGAATTCAGCTCATTAAATCTTCCACACAAAACTTCATTCCTGCAACATTTCTTTATTTCAACAATATACTTTAGGGAAGGGAAGGATCCCTTTCTTGATAATACTGGAGAAACATGCAAATCTCCCAGAGAGGTATCATCAATAGATCTAGGTCAATTCTCAGTTGAATTGACGGAACGAATTCTCACTGAAACCCTCATAGTGTTACTGATGAGACGGTATCACATCTGTTTGTGTTCTCCTCTGACAAACACCTTAATCTGCACAAATAAAGTTCCAGAGCAAGCACCAAAACATTTTCCTGCACCCAAAAAACCTCCAGATATTTTTTGGCAAGCTCTGTAAATGCCCTTCATTACCTGGTGCAACTTGGTCAGGATGGGGCCTGTTTTCTCCTTTTCTTCATACTTCTCCACCTTGGATTGCAGCCGTTTGTAATCTTGCAGAACTTGTTCACGGCGCTTTACTGCCATATTTAGACTGGGAAAGACACCACTGAATCTGTGGGGATTTTTAAAAAATAATTATGATATCCTCAGCTATACAGTATTGAGGCTGACTCTTCACTGAGAGCTTAGTTTTTTGAGGAACAAAAGCTGGATGCTTCTGTTAATAGGGACAAATAAGCTTTTGCACTTGTTCTTTCTCCAAGGATCTCAGAACACTGGGTGTAATCTGTGCCCTTCATTCTTTTTAGATTTTTTTTTAGATTTTTTTATCCCACTTTTATTATTTTTATAAATAACTCAAGGCAGTGAACATACTCCTTCCTCCTCCTCTTTTCTCCACAACAACCACCCTGTGAGGTGAACTGGCTGAGAGATGGGGACTGGCCCAAAGTCACCCAGCCGGCTTTCACGCCCAAGGCGGGACTAGGTCTCACCATCTCCTGCTTTCTAGCCTGGGGCCTTCACCACTACACCAAACTTGCTCTCTCCCTCTTATTTCTAAGACTACCTAGTTGAGATACTAGGTGGCTCAAGGTCACTTTCAGGAAACACTGATGCAGACCAGGGGTTTTAAACAATGGGTCCAATCCTGACCCAGCACTTCGTTGAGACTCCACTGCATCTTGCTTCTCAAGATAAACGAAAGATCCATGTGAAACCCACGGTGAGGATATTTATCTGGCACAGAAAACTTTCCTGCCACTGTGAAGCTTCTGCAGCATTGTTTTCGCAAATCAACGGGATGCTTCCCACAAGTAGGCATCTCAATTGCACCCATTTTACAAGCCTGTTCAGGAAATGGTGCTCCATTCTAGCCACAAAATCAAATCAAGGGCAATTTAAGAATGCTTTTTGTTGGTGTTGAATGTGGTCCAGGAACCCCATCAATTACCATCAAAGGCTCATGTTTTCCTTTTGGCCTCGCCGTAACAATGTTTTTCAATAAAAAGAACACACGTTATAAAGCAGAAGGCAAGATAACATATGAGCCACAAAGAATGCAATTTAAATAAGTTTAGGTGCCTTTCAAAATTGGCCAGGATGTGAATGAAGCAGGCTTGTCCCCAAAAGGCATTCCAAGTCATAAATATTAATCTTGCCTCATTCAGGGATGGGGCCTATAACAGGCGTTATTATTTGTTCAGGGAGGGAAACTCATCCCTGTCACAGTTAAGGACAATTAAGGACTTCAGCCCATCAGTTGCAGCAGGAGCCAGATTAATAATCCTTGCACAATTCTAGATGGATCACCACTGGATGCCAAGGTGGCAGAGAAGTGCAAATATGTTACGGCTGTTGAAGCCACAAAAGATGATCTATGGCCAACCTTTCTCAACTTCAAATCTTTCCAACATTCTCAACTACAGTTTCCATTAACTCGCTGAACATGGCCATCAGCCCAATCCAGGGAACTCAGCTACTCGGTTTAGCTCAGGAAGACAAGCCGACAAGATGGTCAATTTGCATGCTACACTAAAGCATACCTGCTCAACATGAACTATGTCTCTGAGAGTGAGGAGGAGCAGAAGTATGATAAGAAGCTATAACCCTAATGAATCACAGCAATATCTCTTAATTTAAACTGCAACTTCATAGGGTATCCAGCCAGAATAATCTGGACAAATACTCTGTGCGCATTCCGTTTTTCAAGTGTGTGTGCGCCCGTGCGCATACATACAGAGAGGGTGAGGCACCTGTGCCCCTGTTGATGTAGTACAACTGCAGTTCCCAGCATCCCTCAGTGCTGGCTGTATTGATGGGAGTTGCTAGGTGGTATAGTTTACTGGTATCTGAAAACCAACCAATTCTGTGCCTGCATCTTACTACAGAGCAGCTGTGAAGAAGGCAGAAGTTGAGGTGGTTTGCCCTGGAAAGTTCCTTCCATTCCATACAGACAATGGATGGACCGTTAGTCTGACTCAGTGTAAGGCAGCTGCTTGGGATTCTCCAGACCAGCTGCACTAAAAGCCTTTCTGACCATCCCACCTAGCCTGTGAGGTGGGCCGCAAGGGAGATGACTCACTCAAAGGTCACCTGGGGGCTCCTTTGTGTTTTTCCCATTCTGACTGGTCCCCACTTTTAATGCCTGTTCATCCTTTTTCAACCTTAGGTGTGATTCCCAAGTAAGACCTTATGATTTTAAAAAGCAAGGTAAAAACTAATCCTGACTCTACATTAATTTCTAACCATCCCTATCTTGAAGGCTCAGGAGGCTTAATGAAAGATTAAAGCATAACATATAAAATTAAAGTTTTGCGACATGCTTCAATTACTAGCCAAGATGTTAACAAAGAACATTCCATTCCATTCGTTTTGTGGCATCTTTTCGATGGTGTCCAATAACTTGATAATTTCTAGTTCAATGAAAACTATTTAAAAGAAGTTGTAAGACTTAGAATCAGATGTCTCTCTCCTGAAATACTTTTTACTTCAATCTTGTTGAAGACCTCTTGTTCATTACAGTTCTCAGGAATCATATAGTCAGGAAAGAACCATAACCTTTCATACATATACCAACTCCTATAATTATCTGATTAATCAATTATAGGTTGAGTCCATGCTAAGCCAGGAATGATGATATTGTTATTATTAGATTTATATTCCACCTTCATTTTGTACAACTCTAGGCAATGTACATAATGTTCCCGCCTCCTATTTCCCCCACAACAACAACCCTGTGAGAGAGGTTGGGCTCAAGTGACTGGCCTAAAGTCACCCAGCCGGCTTTCATGCCTAAGGGAGGATTAGAACTCATGGTCTTCCAGTTTCTAGTCCTGCACGTTAACTACGACACCAAACTGGCTTTCATTTTTAAACCGCTGAAGAAATAGCTATAGCGGTCTGAGTCAAATACAGAATTTTAAGCCAAGAACGATTAAATCACATTACAGTGTATGAAGCTAGCCAGCTTCACTGTACACTTAAATCAGCAATTGCCCTCCTATCCAAACTGTAATTGATTTGGATGCAAACAGTGATCTTATCAATCCAGAAAGCAGAAGAAATGAAGGGGGAACACACAGGGCATGCAAAATCTTGCAAACTATAATGGACAATGCTATATTTGAATCAACCTATAGCTTAGAAGAGCAAATCCTATTTTGAGCTTTCAAACGTAGATTGGCAAACCATCTTCTTTACTGTTTTATTTGTTTGGAAACTTATATCCCACTTTTCTAGTCAATTCCTAATCAGACAGCCAGTTTGGGGGACTAGTTAAGGTGCTGGCCTAGAAACCAGGAGACGGTGAGGTCTAGTCCTGCCTTAGGCAGGAAAGCTGGCTGGGTGGCTCTCAGGGTTGTTGTTGAGGGGAAACAGGGTTGTTGTTGAGGGGAAAATAGGAAGAGTATTATGTTTGCCCCCTGCCTGAGTTATTTATAAAAAATAATAATAAAGGCGGGATAAAAAAGTATCTAAAAAATATGGTGCTCAGGGCAGTTAAAAGCAAACAAATAATCAACACTCAAGTAAACAACTAAAATACATAGAATTAACAATATAAACAAAACAGGTATAAACACATCACTACGTACACAGAGCAAATGGACTTTTAAAATCAAAGGCACCTTTGCACGAAACGAAGTCTGAAAGTGAAAGTTTAGCAAACAGAGGCCTTAAGAATTTTAAGGTAACAACTGGAGACTTTGGGACTGAATATGGTCCCCAGCTGGAGCCATCCCCAAATTCTAATGTTTAATGTGACAAACGAGAAAAATTACACAAGAAATAATCACACTAACTAAACGGAGTATAATATATACTGGTGTAGGCTTTCGGAGCTGGTATCTGTTGGGCAGTGTTCAGGGTTTGGTGACCATGGTCTAGACAGTAGATTTCCTGATGCTTTGTTGGCAACTGTGGCTGGCATCTTCAGAGGCAAGGTGGTCTGGTGCACAGACCAGAGGCAACTGAGCAGGAACTGACTGGGCTCCTGTCTTTAAAGCCAGTGGCCTGACTTCTGCTTGGTCTTTAGCCGAGCTGGTTTCTGATTGGTGCAGGTTGGTGAGGGCTGGTCTCTGATTGGTTCTTTCTTTGTGCCCGATCCTAACTGGTTGTTTTGGTGTTGCTGGAACCAGCTCAGTGTAGTAGACCGCCTTGCCTCTGAAGATGCCAGCCACAGTTGCCAACGAAATTCTGGGAGTTGAAGTCCATACGTCTTAAAGTTGCCAAGATTGAGAAACGCTGGTCTAGACCATGGTCACTAAACCCTGAAGCTCAACACTGCCCAATGGATATAATATAGTTCCAATTACATTTAAGTCAGATGAAATGAAATGTAGTTTTTGTCCTGGCCCCATTAATTCCTTGATCCTGTCTGGCCTCACCTACTATTTGGAGTGTGACCCCAGGGCACTATCTATGCTGCCCCAACTGCCAAGAGGCTGCCATGGAAAACAAAATCTGATTAGAAAGCACCAATTTACTAAACTATTGCCTGCCAGCCTCTCTTGTCCCCCTCCTGGCTTATCTTTGTCCTTCAGGAGGGCATACTTTGTAACTGCTACAGCTGCCCCCCCCCCATTAAATTTCTAAGAAAATTCATAGGGCTCATTCTTGGAAATAAAGAGGTGATGGAAGCTGGGACTTCACTTTGATGCCGGGTAATCTTCAGAATTCTTAATTTTAAGGCTAGTGGGGTGGGGCAGGGAGCCTAGGGAGAATCAAGGAAGAAATTCCCAGGCACACTGGTGCTCCTTGCACTAGGTTGCGAATGCCAATTCTGAATAATTTGAACTCTTGGAGATTGTCTCTTGTAAGATGGATCTGTACCACCTCAGACTTTAAAAAACAAAGCAACCTGATAAAAAATTTAATACAGCTTTCTGGCAAACCAGGTTTACAAATCAGCCATCAAGATGAATATTTAGAAACTTTCCAGGGTTAATGACTGTTGTAGTAGTATTCAGGGAACATATTCCATGCCCAGAATTTGTGCCTTAACTTGAAAGGCTAGTCACTTGTGCCCCTCCCTCTCATCACAAGATCAGTTTTGGGTGCAACTGAGAACTGTACAATTCCATTTCATACAGTTGAGAGAATGGGGGTCCTCAACCTGTGCCACATTTTGT